CCCCCGCCGCCGCTGTGCCCGCGGGGGCGCCCCCGAGTGACCCTGGACGTGTTTTCTCTTAACAGTGGATCGCAGCTCCAAGAGGAGGCAGGTGAAGCCTCTGGCAGCTTCTCTTCTAGAGGCTCTCGATTATGATAGTTCAGATGACAGTGATTTTAAAGTTGGAGATGCTTCAGGTAAATGTTTCCTTTATTATTATTATTTTTTTTTTTTTGGTTTTTTCCGGTACCGGGACTCGAACTCACGACCTTGCGCTTGCCAGGCAGGCGCTGTGCCGCTGAGCTAAATCCCCAGCCCCAGTGTTTCCTTTCTTTTGCCCTTTCCCAGCTTTCTGGAGTTGGGCTTGCTTTTCTACTTTTTTTTTAAAGAATCGGTTTTGATTAAAACTCCTATTGGAAGTGGGGGAACAATCTTTACTGTTTTATTCTGACCTTTTGATTTTGCCTGTTTTCCTAAGATCCAGTCACTAGATCCGATTACTGCTTCTGTTTTCATTGATCCGCAGATAATTAGCAAGGAGGGAAGGGTCTTTTCGATAGTTACAAACACATTTCCTCTGTTCTGCACCGTAAGTTACGTTTGTGCTTATTTCACAGAGGAGAGTCAAGAGATACCCTGAAGTAGAATATTCTAAGAGTACCGTGAACCATGTAGCGCCTGATCAGTGTTTTATCTTTTCAGTTCTCTCTGCACCTTCTGAGGAGTGTTTGCCTTTTGTCTGTTAGCACTCTTAATAAAGTGTGCGTGCTTGTTCCCTTCTTATATTTAGTGATTTTAAAAACACATTTTAAGAGGTCATACATTCACATTACGTGGAATTGGAAGACAAAGAAAAATACTTTGTCTCTTGCTTAGTGTATCTCATGTGTATAAATAATATGTAGTTTTAATTAAGACTGAAAAACACAAACTCCTTTTAGATATTTCATATGCAAGTGGACATAATAAAAATTATTTGTAATCTGCCCCCTTTTTTGGAAATTTAGATAAGGAAAAAAACGAAAGCCTGAAGTATTTCATCCCCTGTACAACTTCCTTTTGCCTTGCAGTGGTAGGGGTGGAACCCAGGGCTGGGCGTGAAACGCAGGTCTGTATGCTAAGCAAGTGCTCTCCCTTTGGGGTGCATTTCCAGCTTATCTGACAGTTATTTATTTATTTATTGGTGACGGGAATCGAACTCGGGACCTTGCGCTTGCCAGGCAGGCGCTGTGTCGCTGAGCTAAACCCTGGGCCCCCTATGACAGTTTTTAAGTATCTTTCAGAGAGTTTAGTCATCTCTCCCTCCGGTTCTTCTTTGCTTTTGTTTTTTCCCTGCTAGGGATAAGAGATAAAATTAGTGTATTGTGTTACCCTTACTTTTAGTAGCATCACCAAACAGAATTTGCCTTATGATTTGCTGGGAACTGTTGTTGACATTAATCTCATTTAACTTTTACGATAATTCAATAAAGGAGACAGTATTTATAAGTAATGAGGGTACTAAGTTTAAAGAATTTGCATAAGATTCCTCAGGCAGTAGTGGATCCAGTGTGTTTGACTCCATAATTCTTTTCACCATTAGATTTTAAGAATGCGTAGATGTAATCTTAAACTCAAAGTACTTGGAGATTGTGGTTACTAATTGAGTTTACTCACAGCAATCAAAAGTTGATGTTTATCTTGATTAACTAGTTTAACCTTTGCTTCTCAGTACTTTGTCTCCCATTTAGTGATGCTTGGTATTTTCAAAGAAGGGAAAGGAAGGGGAAAGACAAGAGGTAAATCACAAGTCTTAGTTGTAGTGGAGAAGACCTGAAGAGAAAAACATCCTCGTGGCTGGACTGTGGTTTTGATTTGTTAGTAAGGTTGTAAACAAAAATAGGTAGGCCTCAACAGTTAAGAATTTTTACAGATGCCGTTATGGGTTAAAGTCTAAAACTTAGTTTAAGTATTCTAAAATTAATTCTGTGACTATAAATTCTGATGGCTAATTTTTTCTTTATCTGAGTAGAATTCATTAACAGACATTACTTTATAAAAGATAAAACAATCTGATTATACAAATATATACTACTCTATTAAAATAATTTATGGTATCAAGCTAAGTAGAGATTCCTGACATTAAATCCAAGCCGTATTTGAAGAGTACTATTACTTACAGGATGAGTTTTGTTAGGTGCATAAAAACACTAAGAAATACATAACTTCCTGTCCTTCCTGTCGTGTCATACCTATTTTGCTGCACTTACAGTATACTTCCCTGGTCCTTGAGGGTTTTAAATTTGTGACCTACGGTCTAAAATCACAAATTTATTTGTGTAGTTCTTGGTATATTACTGTAAAAAGGAAATTAGCAGAAAATGATTTTGTTTAAACTGATTCATAGTCAAAGAAATTGGGCCATATTTTCTATATTTTGATTAAGGAACATTAGTGTTTCTTATAGCAGAGATGTCTGCCTTGGTATTACCAATGTTTCTATTTTAACCTTTGCTGTTTGAGATAACTATATCTAGTTGAAGTCTTGTAGGAAATAAGCTGTTAGGTTGATAACTGCTTTTAAAACAGGTTGCAGTTGTGGGATCCCAGTCTGCCTTATAAATCATTCTGAACGTGGTGGCACTCACCTATAATCCCAGCACTTGGAGGCTGAGGCAGGATGATTACTGAATTCCAGCCTGAGCTACATAGTGAATTCAAGGCTAGCCTGAACTGCATAAGGAGACCCTGTCTCAAAAAACGAAAAAATCCCCAAGAAGTAAAGACTTCGCAATTTACCTCATAAACCACAGTTAAACTAGAAGTTCAGAAGCAGGTAGACATGTGATTGATCATATCTTCTTTCAGAATGACCTCTCCTGAATGAACTGTTTTTTGAGTGAACTGTTGACTTCCTGGAACTTAAGATAGATTGGTGGCCTCTAGTGATCATGTGCGTTAGTTTCTTTTTATCATCATCTTGAAGTCTGAAATTTTCATTATAAAACTATTTGTGTTTCTGTTAGGCTTAGAGAGTACATACAGAAAACATGAAAAGATTATTATCAATACCCCAGCAGATAAATGTAATTTTACATAATTTGCTTCTCAGGTAGTAAAATAGAAAAAAATCTAAATGCTAAAGGATGACCTACCAGTAAGAGTGGCAAGTGATTACTGACAAAATTAATAATTATAAGCCTCTATTTTTAGAACATTGTTAAGGGGAAAATAGTTTTATCTAAAATGTAAAGTCAGTACTTTCTCATTTTTGATTGAGGACAGTCAGTAAGTAATGTTTAAAATGAACTTGTCCTGAGATGGTATACCTGTATTGCAGTTGTGATGATACCCAGCAGAAGAGGCATATGTAGAAATGTTAGGTTCAGCCATATGAAGTTAGAGTTTTGTAGATCCAAAAAGTTAGCTTTTGTCAGTTTCATGGTTCAGTCTGGTTAAAGTGGCTTGCAACTTGGATCGCTGATAGATGCAAGACTTGCTTACATTGAGTTGTCTACTGTGCAAAAATGTTTTAAAAGATGTGCGCATGTGTTACTTCGTTAAACAAGACAGCATGGCAGTGCCGTGTCCTGGCTTCCCCTGCCTGTGCCATTTAAGTAAAGTGGTTAATTTTAAAACTTGATCCACAGTTAATTTAGTTAGATAGTATGGTCAGAGGATAATTGAACTGGAGTCAGGCTGAGACTTTTGTAGTATTTTGCTTTGATGTTACTTTGTGCTTAGCCTGGCTTTGAATAAGTGGATCAGCATGTTCATTGACCATTTGTTCTTTATTTAGTGTTTTGTTAGGTATTACAGAGAATTCACAGTGAAATAGTACTATTACAATAATAATGAAATAAAATGACAGGTGATACAAAGGATGATTGATGACTTGCATAGTTCAGGTCTTAAATTACTTTAGCATTAGGTTCGTCTGGAGCAGTTTCATTCGCTAAGAATTAAACAGTGAACTAAAGGAGGCAGAAGGCTTATTAGAGAAATAGCAGTCTGGGTGGGGAAACGCTAAATGTTAAAATTGTGAAATTTGGACATGTCATTTATTTTGGGGGATGAGAATTGAGTAAAAGAATAGTAAAAGGAAGGTAGGCATGGTAGTGCATACCTGTAGTCCCAGTATGTGGGAGGCTGAGGCAGGAGGATTGGGAATTCATGTCCAGCCTGGACTACATTTTCAGAGGCTATCTCAAATAACAGTAAAAGCGCTGGTGCTCTTTAGTATGGTAAATGGCTTATACCTGGAAATTGAGAGCTTTTATTACTGGATGAGGGTTTCTCAGTCTCAGCACTGTTGGTGTATTGTGTTGGGTAATTCTTTGTTGTAGAGACTTGTGTATATCATAGGATATTTAGCAGCATCCCTGTCTGCTAGAGGCATGTAGCAACGCTCCCTCAATCTTGTGGCGACCTTTGTCTTCAGTGGCACTAGACAGTGATGCATTACTCCGGGGTAGGGGGGAAAATTGTCCCCACCGGAGAACGAGTGGTTTAGATTTACATTTAGAGAGTGTAACCACGGGGCAGAACTAGAGTCAGAAGGTCGAGTGAGTCGTGTTGACTGGCTGGCTGATTGTTGAAGAGGTACACTTCCGTGCATAGTCGGAGATGGCTCTGCGATGATAACTCCGAATGAGCAGTAGGTTGATGATCTGTCTGTTACCTACTATGTCTGTACGGCACATAGTGATCCCTGTTGCATTTAATAGAACAGCTCAGTTTGATACAATTGATGAAAAATTATGTTGTGAAATTAACATAAAGCAGTCGGTCATGATTTTGTTATTTAATATTTATCACCCGGAAAACTTAAGCATTGGTGACGGTGGTGTGCGTTACTGATGAATTTTTATCAGTTATTGTGAAGGGATTCTTGAAGATTGGTGTTTTTGTCCTATAACTAAATTTTTTTTTTTTTTACTGCCTGTTAATTGAAATAGGTATTGCTTGGAGAGTTTCTGATGCATTGTATGTTTGAGAGAGGTTACCTTTTATTTAACCACATACAAGTACTATTTCAATTTTAAATTTTTTAATGTAACACAATTTACTTGAGATTTGAAATTGCCTAAGATAGCTGTATTTGAAATATCTGACTCATTTCTCCATCCTGTATTCTGTTTCAGGGTATAGAGATGATAGATTTGCTATGATAGATTATGCCATGCTTTTGTAGTAGTAGGAACTTCCGTCTTTGCAGCCCATAAAAATACAGGTGGCCAAAAGTGTTGTTTTCTCGTCATTACCTGGCTATGGATATAAATACTATGTTTCCCCATTCTTCAAGTGCGCGTGTTCTAAAAAGAAGTAGTGACTAATCAGATGAGGTTATTTTTCAGAGACCAAAGAAAGGTAAAGTTTGGAGTCTTCCTGCTCCCCGTAGTTAGACTACGAGTAATAATGTGTTGCATTTGGTGAATGAAGGGTTTGGCAAGTTACTAGGGTTTGGATTTGTGGGAACATTTCACATTCTTCTAGTAATACTTAACTGTAAAACGTTTAAATTAATTTAAAGTAATTGTTCTCAAGCCAGCACTTGCAGTGTGCAATTCCAGCAGTCGGAATGGGTGAGGCAGAAGGCTTGCAAGTTCGAGCCCTGGCTGGGCAACATAGTGATTTAGTGAGATACTGTCTCAAAAAAAAAAAAAAAGGGCTGGGATGTAACTCAGTGCAGAGGCCCCGGGTTGAAGCCCCGGTAACACACACATGAAAGAAGATTACTCTGTAGGGCCAGGGCATAATGGTGCATGCCTATAAATCATACCTAGTTAGAGGCTGAAATAGGAGGATCTCAGGTTCAAGGCTAACCTGGGCAGCTTATCCAGATCCTGTTTAAAATTTAGAAAGGGCTGGAGAGAGATGTAGCTCTTTGCCTGGCATGTGTGAGGCCCTGGGTTTAGTCCCCAGTACTGGCGGATTATAGAACCATCTACTGAGAGTAACTATAAAACCAAAGCAGAGTTAAGGAAGCCAGTATACCTCTGCGTTTAAAATTAATTAGTTGGCTTTGGCAATGGAAACCAAAAGCAAAAGTCAGATCCCTGACATTTTATAAAATTTGCCAAGTCCCAGCAAGATTGGTTGGTGTCCATTTTGATCAGGCATCCATACTTCTGCGCCAGTTAATCGTACTTTTGTATCTCTCATGATTTCTAGAAAATCCGTCTCACTTTTCTTTTATCCCCATCTAGCTATCTTAATTATAGCATAGCTTGTGTTTTAGTTGTTTTTAGTCATTGTGTACAAGAGATCTTTCTTTGGCTTTGAAATGTTAAGTCAGCTCTGATTATTATTATTTAAAACTACATAGCTGGGCATGGTAACACAAGCCTGTAGTCCCAGCACTCCGGAGGCTGAGGCAGGAAGAAGGTTACAAGTTCAAGTTCGAGACCAGCCTGGGCTACAAAGTGAGCTGAAGGCCAGCCTGAACTGCATAGTGAGACCCTGTCTCAAAAAACCCAAAACAAAACAAAACAAAACAAAAACTACATAGAAATTCTTGTTTGTTTTAGCCTAGGTGAGTTTTCTTAGTCTCTTGGGTTTGTGAGTAACTTGAAACGTCAAAACTTCGTTAATAATTGTAGAATTCTTGGACTGGAAGCTGGTCACCTGTTTGTGAATGATCATGGGCCCACACTCTGAAATTCAAGGAGTTCAGAAGTCCAAAAATATTCCCTAAGTTTGGCACAAAGTTTATTTGTAGTGCTTCTCAGTTGCACTGGGAAGTGTTTTACACTTTGTGCTGCAGAAATACTGTGTTTCAACATAGGATTCACTGGGGGTGTTAGTGTACTGTACCATGCTACTCTTCTACAGTAATTCTGAATTTTGAAACACACTGGCATCACAGGTTTCAGGTAGAGAACTGTTGACCTGCAATATTGCCTGTCTGTCCTGTGCAAGATTGTTTAGGATGGAAATACGTTTTCCGAACACTTCCGAGTAAGCCGTGGATACCTAGGTGATTATCTGTAGGTTGATGTTGATTTCGTAGGGTCAGTCACCATCTGTTAAGTGTTTTTATTACAGGTGTGATTTATCTTGTAGGGTATTTTTGTTGCCAGGCATTTGTATAAGATACCTGAGGTGTCTTAGACACCAGACACCACTTACAGACTTTTTTCAGCCTTAATGCCCAGTTAATTATAGAAGTTAAGGCACGTTGAAATTAACAAGGTTGAAACAGACTATTTCACTACTTTGTCATAGCCCTCTTCTCATTTTCCTGTAGGTTTGTCTGTTGGTATAAAATCCTGCTTCCTCTTTTCCCTACTCCCATTTATCCTTCCTTCCAAACATCTTAGATTTTTATGTATTTGACTGGGCGTGAAGGAGGCCTGGGCGGCCACTGAGCAGCGTTGAAGCGAGGACTTGGCTGCTGTAGGCAGGGGTGGAGGAAGCTTGCTAGGAAGAGGCCAGTGGAAGCTCCGTGGCCTCCAGTCTGTCTTTTCAGTGACTGCTGTGGCTTATCATTTCCAAGTTGTGTTCATTTCTTTATCGACTTCTTCCATTTTACATCCTATAGTAGTTACTGCCTAGAATTTTTGCAAGCGTAGGTGACTCTTTTATTAGTATGAACTAATAAGCAGGAAAAGTGATAGCTTCTCTTGTATCTTCCATTTTCTATGTCATTGCCATTGTCTGTTTTTACCTATGTCCTTGATCTAAAATTGACTTTTGTATATTAGGAATGTGGCACAAATTGATTATAAACACCTCTGCCTATTTTGGTAGGTTAAGATTAAAGTAAATGAAACAGTTTGTAGGTGGGCAGATTTATCTTGTTTTGGATGTGACTCGTTACTTATAAGCCATATACTTAATAAAAGGAAGAGGTACAAGTAGACACAGTTTTTCTGTATTATATTACTAGTAAGTTAAAATCAAACGTTCCAGTTTTTCAGAAGGCCCATTTACTTTTAGAAAAAAGTTACCTCAGGGTACCAGATATAGCATGAGCTATATGACACAGAATAGTGCTCTTTTTTAAAAAAATATTTTAATGTAGTTCTAGACATCTTCATTAGTGCTCTATTGAATTCAAACCATTATACCAACTTCATTGATTTATTATTTAGTCAGATTGGGAATGTCTACCATTTTTTGACTTAAAGTTGTTTATATTGTTTTGCAAGTTACCGACTTTGGTGGTTTCATTTGTGTCAGCGTTGTGTGTGTGTGTGTGTATGTATATACATATGTGTGGTTTTTTTTTCTCATATTTTTGACAGATTCTGAAGGGAGTGGTAATGGAAGTGAAGACCCTTCAAAGGACAGTGGAGAAGGCTCCTGTAGTGATTCTGAAGAAAATGTTTTAGAGGAAGAACTGAATGAAGATGTTAAAGTCAAAGAGGAACCACTGAAAAATTCTTCCGAGGAGGAAGTACTGTCACCCGACAAGCAGTTAATCAAAGTGGAGAAGAAGGAGGAAGAGGATCATGGAGAGAGACCTAGAAAGAAGAGGGAGAAGGAGAAGGAGAAAGAGAAAGAGAAAGAAAAAGAGAGGGAAAAAGAGAAAGAGAAGGAAAGAGAGAAGGAAAAGGAAAAAGCAGCAGTGTCTGATAGCGCGGCTGCTTCCGCGGCCCCCTCCGCACCGGCCACCAGCCCTCCCGCCGTCGGCACGCCCCTGCCCGCGCCCGCCGCCGCCACCGCCACGGAGGAGCAAGCCAGTGAGCCCAAGAAGTGGAATCTGCGCCGCAACCGCCCGCTTCTGGATTTTGTGTCCATGGAGGAGCTGAACGACATGGACGACTACGACAGTGAGGATGACAACGACTGGCGGCCCGCTGCGGTGAAGAGGAAAGGCCGGTCGGCGTCCCAGAAGGAGGGCAGTGACGGGGACAACGAGGAGGACGAGGACGAGGGCAGTGGGAGTGACGAAGACGAGAACGAGGAGGGCCACGACGAGGACCACAGCAGCCCCGCCAGCGAGGCGGGCTGCAGGAAGAAGAAGAGCAAAGCTCTTAGCAGGAACAGTGCTGATGATGAGGAGCTAACCAATGATAGCCTGGCACTGTCTCAGAGCAAGAGCAACGAGGTAGAGCACCCCGGGTTTTCTGATCTCTGTCTGTCTGGGGAAAGGGAGTTCTCTGAGTCACTCTGCTCATTCCATTAAGTGGCTTCCTTAAAGTCCTGTGTAGCTGTGGGCGTGAGTGCGAGCCCCGAATGTAACATTTACTCAGCAGACCCTTCCTGAGCACTCCTTGTCACCGTTCCGCAGGGCCTCGCAGTCTCCGTCCTCGAGAAGTGTCTGGAGACGCATTTTCATAGCTGTAGACGCGGAATCGTAGATGTTTCCGGCGCACTTTTTAATCCCTCTCCCGAGTATTCAAAGCACTGCTGAATGGTACTGAGTTGATTCGGGAAATCAGGTCACCTTTCTTCCATAGCCACCTAAAATGTAGAGTTTCAGAGTACTTTGGAGCAGGACAGTAGACAGCTTAATGGCCTTTTAGACACACGTGTTAGAGCCCTTACCTTCTTTCCCGGTTGCAGCACTCATCATCAGTGTAGCCACCAAGTCCTGCTGTGCATGTATGGAGTAAATACACACTTTGTTCACGCGTATTTAGGGAAAGAATTGTCTCCACAAAGAAATGAGAAAAAAAGTTTCCATCATAGAACAAACATTTCTATAATAAAGCTACAGTAATGGCTCAGTTCTGCTGCTCGAAGTTCTGCTACTGAAAGTTAGGTCTGTCCTTTTGGTCCAGAGATGCCAACGTGCAAGAGCCTTCAGCCCAACGCATTTATGTCTGTCTGTGTGTTTATGTACATGTTTTTCTTCAGAAGATCCACTTGTCATACGTGGAGGTGTGTCCGTTACAACACACGTAGAACTGTAATAATTCTGTCGTTTCTGTTAACGTTTTATCACCAAAATTTACTTCTTTACCACCTGCTTTTTTTTTTCTATCATTGAAGTATCTGAAACTAGTAGAGTTCCCTTATAATGCTTTATTCTTTCATGTTTTTATAAGTATTTCGTAGGAATGCTTATCTGCTTTAATTTTTATACAAAATTGCATAATTTTTTTTTAACCAAAATTTATGGCAGGCTATCAGGAGTCATATGCCGGTGGAGATGAAACAGTTTATGTAGTAAATATTGATTAACTTTTAGGTTTCCCACTTTCCTATGAAGAATGTTGCCTGCCTCCAGTGCCATCCTGTTCTTAAGTAAAGGAAATGTATCGTTAAGACTATAATGCATTTTTGATGGTATAGCACAAGCTGTTCCATATTACTAACGTTACCTCAGGGAAGCGGAAGTATAAAAATCTGGTTGTTAAGGTTTTAATGTAGGCTTGTGTTCAGTTGACTTGATAGCACTTAACAGTCTGCATTTACTAAATGTTTACTCTTGAGTAACATCTCTTTCTCCATTTTTGTTAGGCTGATACAAAAGTAGTCTAGCTAATAATAGAGGCAGTGTGGTTTAGATGTATGCTAAAGTTTGGGGGGGACACCTGCATTTATTTAGAAGTTTGCCACATAAAATGTATATACATTATCTCTTCATAATATACTGCTTAAGAAGTTTTAGACTAACTTTTATGATGCACTTGAGGGCCACATGCACTATTTTTTTTTTTTAATTTATACTAGTCAATTATGAGACCTTCTGTGTGTTTAGGTTAATAGTTCCCAGACATGTCAGGAAGTAGATTTTGAAGCACCCTTTATAAAAGTGCCCATGTAGCAGAATTTATGAAAAGTAAATTTCCTTCAGAATAACACTCTACCTGAAAGTTTGATAACTTTGTCCTTACAACTGTGTTATTCACTCTTTAGTGTTTTTTGATGCTTCTAGTTCTGTTTACAAGTAGATATGAAATTTTAATTAAAAATGAATCAATTTAGATTGTTACATTTCTGAATTTTCTATTCATACATCTTGGTTTTGTTAAAAAAATGACTAAAGTTAATTTTTTAGTTGCCTCATGGCCAGTGTTTGTATCTTGAGCTTTCTGTTTAGCTTAGCCTGTCATGTTTGCTAAATACTTGTTAGATTGCTAATAAGTGTGTAGTTGAATATATTTGAAGTATTACTGTTCTTTTAAGCTTTAAATACCACTTTGTACTGGGGATGGTGAAAACTAGGCATGGTGGCGCACACCTGCAATCCCAGCTGTCAGGGGAGGCTCAGATGGAAGGATCACCATGAATTCAAGGCCTGCCGAGGATACATAGTTCAGGTCCTGCCTGAACTACATAACAAGCCCCTGTCTCAAAAAACACATGAACAAAAATCAGTTTCTTGACATTGTACAAGTGTTATTTTTTTGTAAATTATCTCCATTTTAATTTCTAATATTGCAAATATCATTACCATCCTCGATATTAAAGAAACTTAATTTTGAGATCTTGTAACTCACAGTCAATTGTAATAAAATAATACAGAGAGATCTTGCATACTAGTTTTCCCCAGTGATATGTACAAGTAATTATTTGAGACTCTTAAAAATTTAAACTTCTTCAAAAGCTCAAAGAATTATTGGCATGCTAATTTTTTTCTCACCTTTTATTCTGGTTTGTTTTATAGAAGTGTATTGGAATTTCCTTTCATTAATTACAAACATAAATTAGGTGAAATTTAGCCCATTTTATATATCATTTGCAGTCATCTTTGTGGAATACTTGTATCGGTGGATGCTAAACATATTTTAGATTCCATGGAAAAACATTGGACAGTATTAACATTTGTGGGGTAAAGATTAATTTCTTTTTTTCCAAGGGAAAAAAATGAAACAAGTCATTGATTTGTTACTGTAGTACCCCATTTATTCTGCTTATGTAAAAATAATATTAGATTCCATTCATTATAATAATAGTTATTTTCTGGGTGATAACTCCAGTCATACAAAACTCACTTTTCTGATTTTGGTTTTTATGTAAAGCCATATATTTAAGATTTTGTGTTAAGAACCTTAACATGGTGGCACACACCTGTAATCTCAGCACTTGGGAGGTTGAGGCAGGAGGATCTTTGAGAGTTGGGCTACAAAGTGAGCTCAAGGCCATCCTGAACTGCTGAGTGAGACCCTGTCTCAAAAGACCAAAGGGGGAAAAAAAAAACTGTAGCTTAACAATTTTCCCATGAAAGATATTTTGAGAAATATGCTAAGAAAAATTGGTAACAAATTGGATTTTGTACTTATTTAATCATAAGTATGCTTAAACTTATTTTGCTTTATTAAAAAGACTTTTTTCAAAGGGTGTATTTAAATTTTCCCATTGAAGCATTTTCTGCCCACCTTTTAAGGGAGTAATGGGTCTAGTTTCCCAAATTTCGCTCTTTGCATTACATTTCTAGCAAGAGTTTCATGTGCTGGGAGTCAGGCCCAGGAAGACCAGGTAGTTTGGTGTACTTGTAGTCTCTAAGTGATAACTATATAGAGAAATTGGTGCAGGCGTACAATTTAGAAGCTTACTGTTTTTTTGAGCAAAATAGGAAAATAGAATAATTAGAGCTGGCCAGTGATGCTGTTTTTTCTGCCCCATGGAAATTTTTTCTCCAATGGCAAGCCCTCTTTCCGGGCTGGATAGTTGAATTCCCCCAGAGGAATGTCAGCAGAGTCCATTAATGGGAGTCTCTTAGTTGTCAAATCATGGCGTTCGTTAGGTTGCTTCCTCGTCTGTGGATTGTTTAACCTAGATATGATATACTAAGAAAAACATCTCTTTTTGGACTTAGGGTAGCATTCAAATTATTAGTGCTCATGGAGGCTTGTCATTATTCTTCTATGGCTCTAAGGGAGACCTCCCAGTGTAATAAGTTGTCAGTTCAAATTTCTCCTTGTACCAGCTAGAAGTAGTTCAGAGGAAATGAAGGAGGTAGTGAACATTTACTGAGTACCTAGCATGGCCAGAGATGCCCTTGCCACATATTTTATTCTCATAATCACCTTATGATGTAGGTGTTGTCTTTATCATCCTCATTTTACCTGTGAGGAAGCTGCGCCTTTGAATTTCTACAGCTAGTAGTAAGTAAGAGGAGAGAATGAAATCCAAGGATGTTTTACTTTAAGTCAAATGCTGTTGGCTAATGGTGTGAAAATCTGGGCCGATTTTCGTTTTTTTACTGTACCAAGGTACAATAAAATACACATTTTTCTTACCGACTTTTTTTCAGCTTTATTAGCTTTGTTATCTGTTCACTTTAGAGTAGTTTGGTTTTATAACAAAGAGAAATAAGATGCCAAACCTTTGAAGCACTAGAATTCGCAGGAGAAATGACCTTAACTGCTTGTTGACTGTTGCATTCTTTTCTGATTTATTTTACAGGTAAACTGCAGTTGTAGATGTTACTAACAAAATATATTTGAAAAATACTATTAATTCTGACCTCAGGTGTTTTCAAGTTTCATTTACAAATTGGTACTGAAATGTTGACTCCACATGTTTCGTTTGGATGTAGAGTTTCAGAGACTATAAAATACAGAAAGTATTAACATGGAACAAAGTGCCTTTCGTGAATGTATGGTGTGGAACTCATATATTTTGTTTTTGAACATGGTGAGGTTCACCGTGCCATCTCTTTGTTTTGTGCTGCTGGGAATTGAGTCCAGCATCTCTGCCTGAAGCTGTGTCTCCAGCTATTTTTCCGTTTTTTATATTTGAGACAGGATCTGGTTAAGTCACTAAGTTCCCCAATCTGTGATCGAACCTGGTGATCCTCCTGCCTTAGTCTCCCAGCGTGCTGGAGTTACATCTATTATATGTAATATTAAGGTCAATCTGTTAGGTATGACAGGAACAATTTTCTTAGTCAAGTGTAAAACTGTAGTGCAAAAGGATTCAATGAAAACAAGATTCTTATCTCTCGGAATTTTATATTTTTTTTTAGTCTCATCCTCATGGAACAAATTGTAATGTGCTCAACAGTCACTGCTGGCCGCTTACACTGTTGCACCGGGGAGTCTACTCTTGGTATTTTATCCAAATGGACACCCGGCACGCTTGATGTTCTAGCATTTCACAATTCTGACAGTCCTTGTTGAGGCACTTACTGCTCGGTCAGGCATGGAGCTCCCACCCTGGCCCTGCTGAACCTTTCTACATTATAACTAGCTAGATAGCTTTTTTTTTTTTGAGACAGGGTCTCTGTGTAGCTAGATATCTTTGTTACCAGTTTGCACTAGATACTTTCTTTTGTCTTTTTGAGACAAAGTCTCACTGTGCAGTTTCGAATAGTCTTGAACTCACTTTGTAGCCCAGGCTGCCCTGAACTTGCAGGGATCCTCCTGCCTCAGCCTCCTGAGTGCTGGGATTATATGTATGCACCAACATGCCTGGCAACACTAGATACTTCTTGACATAAACCCAATAGAATAGTTTTTCTAGCAGCTGGACAACTCAGAACCTTATGTAGATGATTTTTTTGTGCCTGTGTATGCAGATATACCTACCCAGGCTGTCACTGATGTATCATCCAGTAATTGCGCACTTGCACATACGTTACCTTGAACTTATTTCTTCCTGTTTCATTTATGTATGTCTTGTCTTTCTTAGGAAGCAGGAAACGATCCCAAAGTGTTAGGTACACTCACACCTTTAAAATTCATCTGTAGAATTCATAATTGTGGGTTAATTTTTTCTTCTAGTTTAAAGAGAAAAAGCAGAATGACAAGGGAGACTAAAGACTTGTTTGCTTGCCTGTTTTTTTCTTTTTTTGGTGCTGGGAATTGAACTCAGGACCTTGTACTTGCCAGGCAGGCACTTGTGCTGTTTTTTTCATAGAGGAGAGAAAATGCGGAGCTTGCGGAGAAGTAAAAATTTGAGAGGGTGATTAGAAGTCCTTTGATAAGGAAGTATGGTTGTCAAGTGTTTTGTACGTTGAAATTATTAAAAGAATGGGAAAAGTGACAAATCTGCAAGTGTAAAGATACTTAAACATAATTTATAACGAGGGTTGTACTTGTTGAAGTGACTGTTTAACTCTAATGTGCTTTCCATATATTTTAATGTCAGGACTCGCTGATTCTTGAGAAGAGTCAGAACTGGAGTTCTCAAAAGATGGACCACATCCTGATTTGCTGTGTCTGTCTGGGAGATAACAGCGAGGACGCCGATGAGATAATTCAGTGTGACAACTGCGGCATCACAGTCCACGAAGGTACTCTGTCTGTCTGCTTTTGCAAATGGCTGACCCACAGTTTTTTGTGTTTATACTATTCCTAGGTTTTTTTCTCTGATGTTTCATGGTGCTTCAGTGGACCTAATGCAGTATCCTTGAGTGTGGTGTATTTTTCAGGTTACCTCAGTGTGGAAAACAGTATATCTCTAAACACCAGTGTTACTATGTTTTCCTTCCTGATATTTGTTTTTAGTTCTTAAATAAAATGAGAAGTAGAAACAAAGTTAGTCCAATAGATAGTATTCGTAAAAAACTTGCTTTCTAGGTCGGTCACTGTTACACTAGTTCTTTTTTTTGTAGTTACTTTTTTAAATTTTGAATTTGAAAGGAGAATTTATAATAGAGATCACTTCTTTTTTTGCGATCATGTTGTAAAATCTGAACCAGGAACCACTCTTGTGAAAATTGAATGTTGAAGTATTCTTTTCCTGGTGGGCGTGGTGGCACATGCTTGTAATCCCAGCACTTGGATGCTGAGGCAGGAGGATCTCTGTGAATTGAAGGCCAGTCTGGGCTACAAAGTGACTTCATGGCCTGCCTGAATTGCCCAGCAAAGCCTTGTCTCAAAGAGACAGAAAAAAAAGAGAGAAAATACCATTTTCCTTATTATAATTTTTGAACCTTTTAATACTGAATTTTCACTTCAGAAATTTATGATGACATAATTTCTGACTTATGGAAAACTTACAGGAATAATACAATTTCTATATATTCTTTGCAAGGGTTTTCCAAATGGTAACATTTTACTGTATTTGCTTTATCTTTTCTTTCATGTAATGATTTTTTTTAACTTCAATGTAAACTGTGGACATAGTCTTCTCTCTCTCTCCCTCTGTATGTATTCCTAAGAACGAGAGTGCTTTATGTACTAAGAACAAGGGTCATCTCTTACAAACACCACTGATAGAAGACCCTTATGTAAGCTACAGGCAGTATTTGTCATTTCTAACAAAGTAAAATCCGGACTTGGGCATTGCTTCAGTTGTGTCTGTTTGGTTACCTTTGATCTGGAATAATCCTGAGTTTTGGTGTTTCACACCATTGGTATTTAAAGAATATAGGACAAGTTTGCTTGCTTGCTTCCTCTCTCCCTCCTCCCCTCCCCTCCCCTTCCCGTCCTTAGAAAGTCCTTTTATCAGGTTTTTAAATGTGTTTCCCATGAGTAGATGCAGGTTATAGGTTTTGTGCTTATGGCGGGCAAGTCACAAAAGTTACGGTGTGTTCTCAGCATCATATTAGGGAACGTTATTTATTTCTGTAATGACCAGTGATGTTACTTTGGGCACTTGCTTTAGACGGTACCTTCCTGTTTTCTGTGTGTTATGATTTTGTTTACTAGTTAATTTTTTCCTGTCAAGACCATGAGTCTACAAAGCAGTCTCTGTGTCCTTGCCTTACTTCCCTTTGTCCTCCCACGTGGAGGAGGCTGTAGTGATGACACATGAACAGACCAACAGCTGTCCAGGTGCGCAGTTCGGACAGTGAGGATCAGGCCAGATCTATGCAGAAAGATAAAGCAGATCCCGGAATAAAGGGAATGCTGTGGACGAGAAGATTTGGGTGAACTGACGGCAGTTGTATATAAGAGACCGGAAAGGAAAGTCCTCTGAGATGACGAGAGAGGTGAGTGGTGACCTAAAGGGAGTGCGGGAGAACGTCAGGAAAGCGTGCGGAGAGTTTCCGAGGACAGTTCGCTCGGTTTCAGAGGACATGGGGAGCACTGGCCGTGAGCGGAGCGTGAGTGGTGATCTGAAGAAAGTGTTTCAGGGGCGGAACGGGCGCAGCCGTGTCTGATGATGTTTTAGGGTTAGGTGAAGAAGTGCACCGTGTGGGAAATTACGCTAACGCGGGGGTCGCCTGTTACGTGTCCACCTAGGCGAGCTGTCCCAGAAGTTGTGGGAAAACAGGTTCGCTGACAGAAATGCCTGTGTCACATGGCTTCACAAGTGGATGGAAAGCACAGAGAGAAGCAGGGGCAGAAGAAAGGAGAACAACATACTTAGGGTAGGGTCCAAATAGGACAGGTTACGAAAGTGAACGCTTACTGTCACTGCTTACGGCCTGTTCACGTAAACCAGCCTGGCAGACCTGGGGGGACTCTGACAGTGCGAAGAGCAGGAGACACTGATCCCTGAGGGCAGTTAGAAGCCTCCTTCCGCGTAAGCGGAGGCCGCGTCTGTCCTGAGCCTGTGGAAGTGATGGGGCTGGCAGGACAGCGGGGCGGGGCTTGTTGGAGCCAGGGCCTCGGGTTTGGGGTGAGAGGGGAGGAGACCCGCTCCCAGCGGCCTCAGGGGCAAGTCTGTCTTCTTTCTAAGGTAGTCTTGATTTGTTTTAGAAGCAATTAAAATGTCTTTTTAAGCGAAGGCAGGTCAATAGGATGTTGAAGCTGAGTAGTAATGCCATTCAAGTAAAACAGAAATTGGTGTCTGTAACGCCGTCAAAGCTTTTGTGTGTCATTCCTTTAGCTCTCTGTGATGATGCTTCAAGTTCACAGATTTTTTGAGTGCTTGCTAATGACTGTCGTTTTCTCGCCCCGAGCAGTCAAATCAGAGCCCTGTTCTTGTGGGAGAAGGAGGAGAGGAAGATGAGCCAAGGGAAAGCCGTGTTTCCGAGTGTGGTGTTTTTCAGTGTTTTGGAAGCTAGCTAGTCTGCTACTCATTAAATAGGGAAATGGAGTGGTTTTTTAACCTCTTGAGGTGAGTCTCTATGCTGTGTAATTCATTTGTTGGTGATGCGAGGAAACAAGATTTGCCTCAGGTGGCTCCAAGGAGTCACCCTGACCCAGAGGCTTTATTCCGTTCAGGAGCCCACACATCTTTCTACAGTCTTATGGTCGTATGTGCTATCTCCCGCCAGAGTTACTGCGTTCAGGAAAGCCCACGTTAGGTGTTCTGCCGGGCATTTATTGTTCTTCTCAGTGCAGACGCATCTTCCAGTAGGAGTCATTTTTACCATGTGCAGTGTTTGCGAGTCATTGAGTGAATGTTCTTTCCTCATGAGCCTTCTAGGGTAATACCAGTAGGAAGTTAAGTGAGAGTCCGCTTTCGTGCAGCAGCGGAGGAAGGGTTCCTAACAAAATCCCAAGGGCGCTCCCCCCGGTTCTCCAGCCCAGACTCCAGGACCGTGGGGCCACAGGGCTCCAACGTGAGTCCCTCCTCGGCCTGCTTTCCAGCGGCTGTGGCTCATGTTACCTGCTTGTCTCATTCAGAGTAAAGTCATGATTTTAAATATTTTACCCTGTTCTGCATTTCCTGGCTTGTATGTATCCTCTAAACTTACTATTCCTAGAGAAGATGAGTGATTTGGAAACAGCTTTCTGTATATATTTGACATGAACATTAACTGCTATTTAAATAACATGTTTTATTATCTTGAGTATATAAATATTTAAGTGCAAGAGTGGCGAGGAAACAGAAGCAGAGACATCTATTCCGCCATCTCACTGCGTCACACTGGGGAAGACGTGTTTATCATAAGAGCAAAGATACAGTTGTATAAGCGAATTGTAGACTCCGTGTGGCGGGTTCATCTTTCTAGACCGTGAGCAGGTGGGGTGAGGCTGTCTCCAAGGTGTAAGGGCTGTGTGGTGGTGGACATGAGAAGTGCTTCGTGTGTCGCATACAGATTTTCCTACAAGAATAGGTAAGGAAGCGTAGTGTACTTTGGTGGTGAAAATAGATGACTCGTGAGTTCATTGCATTGGGGCTATTAACTCTTGCTCTGAAACATTTATCTCTGAATATATTCATATACTGTAGTTTATTGCTTTTTAGTTCTTGAAATTTTAAGGCATTCATGGTTTTAAACATCTTTTATACTAATAAATTCACTTTGAGGCTGTTCTTGCAAAATTTTCTTTGCGTTTAGGAATTACTCGTTTCAAGGCTACCTTCACGTTCTTCATAAAATAAGATTATCTAAGCAGTGGTTATTACTCTGTAAGTGTAGATACAAACGATGATTCTTTGTGAGAAATCTTTTAGCACAGAATCATTAACTGTATTTTTAGAAATGTACAAAACAGCTTTTTACAAATTGTATGGCAATTTGCAAATATTTTATTTAGGTATAAAATGGATAGGATTTTATTTTATGAAAAGGTAAAATAAGACTTTGGTGAATTTGACAGTAGTTCCTCTAAAAACACTTCCGTAGAGTTGTTCCAACAAATCAGAAAGCGTTTCTTCGGGAAGCGGGACACTAAACCGACCCACAGTGTCTCTTGTTTACCCCGGCTGATGGTGTTGCTGGCAACTGGCTGCTCCGTTCTGTTCACGGTCCACACTCTTGTCAGCACTGGCTGTGGTGCTCCTTCTTGCAGTTTGGCCGTTCTGACCGGGGCATAGTGATCTCTTACTGTAGCTTTAGTTTGTATTTCCCTAACAACACAGGACATGGTATAGAACATCTTTTCATACGCTTACTTGCAATCTGTATCTTTGTTGAAGAGGTGTCAAGTTGAGATCTTCTATCCAGTTTTAATTAGAGTATGTTATTTCTTGCTGTTGAGTTTCGAGAGTTCCTTACGTATTTTGGAAAGCAGTTCTTTAGCAGGCATGTCTTTTGCAGATCTGTTCTCGCAGTGTGTGTCTGCAAGGCGGCAGCCTCACATTTAAATGATCTCTGCCATGGATCCTCCCTTGAATGTTGAAGCTAAAGAGTCACCACGTACAGAAGGTCATCTAGATTTTCTCGTGTGTTATTTCCTCACAGTTTTATAATTTTCTTTTTTTTTTTTTTT